GCTGTTCTTTTCTTTGTAATTAATATTGTGAGAGAAATACTTTGTGCAAATATCCTGTTTCTCCCCCAAACTTTTTTCCATTGATATTAGCGACCATCAGTGGATCTTGTCTGCAACAATTATTACTATGATGTACTGATGGCGATTTTCCATTTCCCTTACTCCTTCTAAAATTATTTATTTAATATTATTATTATTATTATTTTATTTTTTTGAGTGGGAGTCTCGCTCCATCGCCCAGGCTGGAGTGCAGTGGCACGTTCACAGCCACCCTGGCGTCGACCTGCGGGCTCCAGCAATCCTTCCACCTCAGCTTTCCAAGTAGCCAGAACTACATGCGTGCCACCACGCCTGGCTAATTTTTTGATTTATTGCAGAAACAAGGTCTCGCCAAGATGCCCAGTCTGGTCTCAAACCAGCAGGCTCAGGCAATCCTCTTGCCTCAGCCTCCCAAAGTGCTGGGATTACAGGCTGAACCACCGAGCCCGACCTTATTTATTATTATTATTTTGAGTTAGAGTCTCACTCTGTTGCCCAGTCTAGGGTGCAGTGGCATGATCACAAGTCACTGCAGTCTCGACCTCTTGGGCTCAGGGGATCCTTCTGCCTGTGAACCGCCTAAGTAGTTGGAAGTACAGGCACACACCATCGCACCCAGCTAATTTTTTGATTGTAGAAATGAGATCTCGCTTTGTTGCCCAGGATGGTTTCAAACTCCTAGGCTCAAGCGATCTTCCTGCCTTGGCCTCCTGACGTGTGGAGATGACAGGCATAAGCCACCGTGCCTGGCCCCTTCTACATGTATTGAGTGAAATCTTCTGTCTCCTTCCCTAACCTCCCATTTATTTATTTATTTATTTATCAGCCTAGAGTCATGGATATTTCATTTATTCCACAGGTTATAAACAATACTTTCATCACTTATTTTGTGGCTTAGATTACCCTGGGTTCCCTCTCAGCCTCTCTTTTCCTCAGTCTCTCATTATCATTTATCATTATTTCTTGTGTGATTGTCGGGACAGATGCCTACACTTCACATCTGGGGGGATGTAACAGGCTTTAAAAGACTCAATGGAGTTTGTGTCCTAGGGAAACCTAAGAAACCAAGAACTGGAAGAGTCCCTGAAAGATGCTGGGGACATTCTGTGTGCCCGCTGCTCTCGGTCCCCATGACTGTCCATCCGAGGACAGACATAGGCTCCCTGCCTCCGCCTTTTGGGAGAAGTGGCTAATAGGAGACTCAGTGGGAGATGAGAGGGTAGGTGGAGGATGAGGTGAGGGTTTTTATTCCCTTGGCTTCCTTCTTGGCTGTGTCCCTCCATCAAAGGCCACCTCCCCTATGGGACACACTCCTTCCAGGTTTAAGAAATAATTTCTTTCGGGTCCCTTCACCTTTAGAGGTGTTAGTAGCCCGGCCGTTACCAGCCTCAGGTAACCACGCTATCCCTCTTGGTTTCCTGTTCCCACCATACCCTTGCAAATAGTCCCTTTGTAAATAAGGGTCCCACAAAGGATTCTAACCTTGCCAACTGCTTCCTGCCAGGACTTTGTGACTCATAAACCTTGTGAATGTCTAATCCATGTAGGGTATATGGTTGTCTGGGGTACAGGCTTTGCTGCGTCCCTTTGTTTTTCGTTTTGGTGGTTAATCATAACAGCCATTATTTCTCCGCTCCAAGCAGAATCTCTTTTGCCTTCATTTAAGCTCCTTTTCTCTTTTCTGGCATTCTGTGATCATAAAAAAGATAGTTGTTCAAAATCCTTCTCACTGGAAGCTCTCTATACAGTTGGGAAGAATCACTGTGACGCCCTAAACTTTTCTGTGATCCCTTTAACCTGACCTCAGAGGACGTCTTTTCTTCCCTTTTATCCTCTTCAGGTCTTCCATACTATGAAGTGAAAGAATAACTCTAAAATATAGGACTGGTGAGGGGAGGACAGCCACACTCGTAGCAGCAAGATTCTCAACAGCCAAAGGTGGCAACAACCCAAGCGTCCATCAACAGATGAATGAGCAAGCAAAATGTGGCATAGCCATATGATGGAATATTGTTCAGCCTTGAAAAGAAAGGACACTTGGGGAGGCCAAGGTGAGAGGGTTGCCTGAGCCCATAGGTTCGAGACCAGCCTGGGCAACTTGGCGAGACGTCATCTCTACAATAAATCAAAAAAATTAGCCGGGTATGGTAGCGTGTGCCTGTACCTCCGGCTACTTGGAAGGCTGAGGCGGAACAATCATCTGAGCCCAGCAGGTTGAGGCTGCAGTGGCCATGAACATGGCACTGCACTCCAGCCTGGGCAACAGAGTGAGATTCCAACTCAAAAAAAAAAAAAAAAAAGGAAATTCTGACACCAGCTGCAACATGGATGAACCTAAAAAATTCTGGTGCAACATGGATGAACTTAAAAAATTCAAGGCCATTGTGCTAAGTGAAATAAGCCAATCACAAATAGAGAAATACTGTATGATTCCACCTATAGGAGGTACCTAGAGTTGTCAGATCTACAGAGACAGAAAGCAAAATGGTGGTTGCCAGTACTGGAGAGAGTGAGGAGTCGGACTTCTTTAATAGATACAGAGTTTCCATCTTGCAAGGTGAAACAGTTCTGCAACAGATGGTGGTGGTGGTTTCACAAACGTATGAATGGACTTGATCCTGCTGAACTGTGCACTTACACATGGTTAAGATGGTAGATGTTATGATGCCTATTTCACCATAATTTTTTAAGTTAAAGATATGGAATACAACAAGATTAACAAAGCAAGGACATGGGTGTGGAGCTTCTGTAGCAGGCACTGCGACAACTCTGCTCAGGTCCTGTCTCTTCATGCTGGGAGCAGTTCAGCCAAACGGCATAGACAGGGGTCAAATGAGAGAAATCAGGGCAGGGAAATGAGATGATGAGGAAGAGGAGGAAATGGGTGTAGATTGTCTGGGCTTTATGGGTTCAGGAAATGTCTGAAGGATAAACAGATATAAATCAGAGAAGATGTGGTTGATAAAGAATAGCTATTAGTCATTTTTAGATGTTTCCTTTATGACTAAGCACCCCCCACCCCAGTCATCCAAACAAGATCCCAGGACTTCAGGAAAGTGGACCGAAAGCAGCAGCCCAGCCGTCCTGTGGACGTGCTCTGTCCAGGGTCTCCTGGGAAAGGGCACAGCTTGGCTGGGTCCTTGCTCATGCCCTGGGGTCTTCGACAGCTACCACTCTCCTTGGAAGCACAGACATAGGGTGGGCATCGTTCAATGAATTGATGTCGCATTGCTCATAAAACTTTGAACAGGTTGCATCTGGAAGACATTAAACACATACCTGTTTGCAGATGTGCTAACCCTGATACAATTGTGCTACAACCGTCAACTTTTACATGGCATTTCTTGCTAGTCGGTCAATGAATATACTGGTTGTTTACTGCCTGGGGCAAGTGTGGAAATGGGCTGTGGCTGCAGAATTCCTCTTCCTTGCTTTGGCTTGGACCCATGCTTCGGCACGTGGGTGACCCAGATCACAAAACTAACTCATCTCAGAGAAAGATCGCTCCACTGAAAAATCTCCACATCTTGAGAGTGATTGCCAGTGCCTTTGCAAAGTGTTGGCTTTGAAGGTCTGGCTTGAGACCCTGTGTGTTGAACACAGAAGCATGTGGACAGTGGTGAGTCAGTCTTTCCATGGTCCCCTCCCTTCCCTTGGTCACACTCTGCCCTCTCAGCCACCACAACCTTTGGCCTCCAGCTCACCCGCAGGCTCTGGGCCTCATGGACACCCTGAGAACAGTTCTGCTCTGTGCGGTGGACTGGCTGGCGGGGAAGCACCCCAGCCAGACCAGGTTCCGGGAAATGTGTGAATGAAAGAAGGAACCAGGGCTGTGGCCCTGAGGAATGGAGGGGTCCAAAGCCTGCGTGTGGTAGGACAGGAAACCGGATCCGTGGGCCCAGGAGGCATCAAGCCAGTGGCTTGGGAGAGTAGAGGCTCCAGGAGGCGAGGAAGAGCATTCCTGGATTATTGCTTGATCCTTCACGTCTGTATGCCTTTACCACCAAGGGGAGAGGAAGAAGGTGCCAAGAAAGGATTATGGCTTCTACTCCTTTGTGGCTGATTCCTCCAGGCCCCTTTGAGGAAGTCTGTGCGTTCAAATGGACTGATAACACTCTCATTTAGAATATCTTAGGCTACCGGGATCCTGCAAGGAGGGGTGACAGATCCCCGGCATCCACCAGGAGGTGCTTGCTGGTCTAAGGCTGGAGATAAACAGATGCTGCTTCGTTGAGCTAAGTCTAGACAGCACTTCTCAAAGTGTGGTCTGGAGTCCCCTGGGGTCTGTGAGGTCAAGGCAGTTTTTCAAAATATCATTAACACATGATTTGCTTTAAAAAAAAATCCTCATTCTCTCATGAGCATACAGTGGGTTTTTACAGAAGCTACTTGGCATCTAATGACTTCATCACTCTGGCACCTAATGGATTGAATGCTTGTGTATGTAAATGTTTCTCAGTTTTAGCCCATGTACAAATAGTGCTTTGGCGTCTTTGACAAATTTTGAGAGTGTCAAGAGGTACTGGGACCAACGAGTTTGAAAACTGCCGGGCTAAGCCATGTGAGTTAGATAGGACCACAATGATGACAACCAGAAAGACTCGTAAGAATGATCTAGAAGCCGGACATAAGGGCTCCTCCCTATAATCCAAGCATTTTGGGAGGCCGAGTCTGGAGAATCATTTGAGGACAGGAGTTTGAGGCCAGCCTGGGCAATGGAGTGAGGCTCTGTTTATTAAAAAAAATTTTTTTTAAAGTATTAGCTGGAGTGGTGACGCATACCTGCAGTCTTGGCTACTCAGGAGGCTGAGGTGTGGGGATCGCTTAAGCCCAGGAGTTAGAGGCTGCAGTGAGCTGTGATTCAGTCCGGGCGACAGAACATGACCTTGCCTCTGAAGGAAAAAAAAAGGAAGATCTAGAAGCAGACAGTGATCATCTGTTCTTTTTCTTCCCTCTCACAGGAAACACTGCAGAGAAAATCTAATGGATGAAGATGAGAAAGACAGGGCCAAGAGGTAAGAAGGAGCTGTCCTACCTGCCTCCACGGCGTCCACTGTGGGTCCAGCAGTCCGATTCTTGCTTGCCCTCACGCTGTGTAAGTGAGAGTACCAGCTGGACAGGCATGGTGGGACAGAGTCTGTCCTTGAAAAATCGTTCTGTGAAGACATTCCAGACCAGCTCCCTTGGTTTTGCTCCTCACTGTGAAATTACTCATCGATGGGATAGGCCCCAAACGTCTCTGCCTGTAAACTTTTTTGCGTAGATACCCTTGTAGTGAGGCTGCTGGCCCTCCCTCCTCTCATTCTCAGATGGCTTAGAATGTTTGCTTACACCCAGAAATGGCTGCAATAATGCAGTGCCCATCCTAACACTGGGGAAAAACAAAATACAAACCTAAGATTGCTTTTCAAAGCAGGTTTTATAGCAGCAGCCTGGGAGGCCCTTCCCCAACCCTACCTGGAGGCTTGACGTGAATTGTTCTCGCTCACATGATTTTTTGATGAGATTAGAAATGTTTAGCTTGAGATCAAAACTCCCATTGTCTCTAGAAAACATGCTTTGTGTTAGGCGAGGTTTTCAATGCTTTAGGGAATTCATGGTGCATTTGAGTTGTTTGATCAAGTATTCTGAACCAGGGCATGGTTCTACTTTCTTCCTTGAATTTCCATGTAAATCCAGTGAGTATTAATTGAGTGCCTATTGTGTGTTCAGAACTGTGCTATTTTCCTTGGGGAAGATGCAAAAATAGTCCTTGTGCTCAAGAAGGAAACAGCTTGAGAAATATTTGGGATCCCTAGATAATGAAGTTCACAGTTTACCATTCTGTGTTCCAGCTATAAGCATGTCTGATTCTGATGCGATGTATTATTGAAGGGTGTGTGTGTGTGTGTGTGTGTGTGTGTGTGTGTTCATCCACGAAGTGGTGTGGTATAATGAGAAGCGAATCAAACAGGCCTGGCTTTGATTCCTGCCACTGTTTTTGAACAAGTTATAAACCTTTCTCTTAGCCTTAGTTTCTTCTTCTGTAAAAGGGGGTGATAACAGTAGCAACTTCTCCCCAATTATTACTGTGGAAATTAAATGTGGCTGTGTCTAAGCCCCTGGCACAGTGCTGTGTACACAGGACTGATAAGAAGAGCTGAGGCTTACAGAGCATTCTCCACATGCCTAAAGTATTTTACATGTAGTCACTCTCCAAGCCTTGTGACACGCCTCAAGATAGGTTGTGATTAGCCCCATTTGACAATCGGGAAACCCAACGCTCAGGGGTCGCACACCCATTGGGGGCAGGCAGGGATTCAGATGCAGGTGTCCGTTTCTAAAGTCTGGGTGTCTAACGACTTCCACGACCCAAGCAAATGGAAGCTGTTTCTGTGATGCACCACCTGCTAGAGGGGTGGAGACAGCAATGCTGACAGGAATTCTTGCTTTCCAAAGAACGGGTCTGTAACTTGGCAATATTATAAAATACCGTTTACTCCATTTCTTGATGAAAACGAGCACCTGTTGGCAACAAAAAGCAACTGCTTCATGCTCGACTCTTCTGTTAACCCAGTGTTAAGGAAATACAAGATTTCCTCTCCCCAGTCAGCTGTGAAGTTCTGTTTCCAGAACCCCCAGCCTTTTGTTGCAGGAGGGGAGGTGGGTTTATAGCTCTGCTGCCCGCTGTTTATAAGAATCAAGGGTGTCAGGTCAGATCAGCCGATGCTTGGGGTTCTCCAGAGAGTGAATGCCGATTCTGAAACACAAGCTAAGTCATTTTGTTATTCTTTGACCCCAATGGTTGGTCTCCACACTGATAAAACGGTTCGGACAAGAGGGAGGAGTTCAAATACAACACACAAGAAGCCCACGCATGCCATTTTGCTGAAGCAGATGTTTCCAAAGGAAAAGCTTTAGCTGTTGGAAGACTGGTTATTTCTTCTGCTCCCCTACCCACAAGGTAGACGAAGAGGAAATGGTAGTTTGTAATGGGGACCAGTGACTGAGATGTCCCATCTGTATTGTTGACTAGGTAGTGTGGTAATCAAGTGGAGGATACAGAAGAGGGTGCACAGCTTTATTCTACCCTCAGGAGGCTTTCAGGCGAGTGAGGAAGGCATTCATGAAAACCAGCATAGAGGAAAAAATGTATCAGTACCGATGGAATATATGTTGGGCCAAGCCAGGATGGTGATCGTCATTTGTAAGCTCAGGGAAAGTGATGTAGTGAAGGGGAGAGGCTGATTTTATTTCACCCATGTGGTTTCTTTGGATGTAGATTTAAAAGGAAAGGCGTGTCCAGGAAGGTTGTAGCCAGTGTGGAAGCCATGGGCACCATGCACACTTGCAGAGTGTCCTGTGTGCGGGCAGTGTGCGGAATGAACACACCTTGCCCTGTGTGTTGGACAGGGTGCTCACACTCCTGGCTGGAGCCTGCTGTGCTAACTTTGCTGTGACTTTCTTTCATAGGCTTTAAGTTTTTACTTACATTATCATAAGCTCTGACCCAGGGGGGAAATGGCAGTAAAAAATCGTTGAGGCTTCCTTTTTGTTTGGTGATTAAGGCAGCAGGCATCCCGAGAACACTAGAGGTGACAAGACACATGTTTCATTTATATTGCCCTGTAATTTCCAGATGAGTGATTCTGTTCTCAAAACAAAGAGAAAAGTAGAACTGTACTTCCAGGCAGAATGCTAATTCTTCCCGTGGCCCAATAAACAGCAGAATTCAAAAGGGGCCTCCCTCTATCAGGGGCGTTTGGCTTTTACCCTGCTGGGATCCTCCTTGGGATGGCTAGGAAGAGTGGTTGTTAGAGAAGTGTGTGCTTGGCAGGTGTAGAAATTTGGGGGTGTCTTAGAGAGATCCAGAACCTCTCTGGGGACATCTGAGGCAAAAGGCAGGTGACTGAATGTCTTTTCCATCATTTCAATAAATTTTAAATTGAAAAAAGATGGTCAGAAATCTACCACTTGAAAATGCTGCTTTGCTTTAGAACAGACTAATGAGCATTCCTTTTTAGAATTTTGGTGGCAAGTTCCTAAGGATTGCGCTCTAGTTAAATGGTGCCTGTGTAACCGTTAACTAAGAGTCACTATGAAATGAGGCCAGCTTCTCATTTGGGCCCAGAATCTCTCTGCTAACTGTGGTTAAGAGTAAAGCTGTTCCTGCTGCATCTCGGGAGAACAGATAGCCTCAGCTGCTCTCAATCACCCCAGATGCTTTGCCAAATCTCTGCAGTAGAAAACGTCCTGAGTTCCCCCCAAGTTCTCCATGAGATGAGGCTGGCACCAGCCTGACCTGTCTTGCCCCATGGGGGTGAGTTTTCTGCCCACCCACCCAAATGATGTCGTCTTCTTGCACTGAACTGCTTGAGGCTTCAAGTTCAATGATGCCCCCAAATCCACTGCCTGAGTGTGTGGGGGGATACTGCCTGAGTTACTAAAGCCAGGGGGTGCACACTTGTCCCCAGTCACAAGTCCGGGCATGGGAGGGGACTGCTCTGACCCTAAATGAACCTTGCTTTATATCAGAGTTGCCCAAAATGTATTCTGGAGAACACTAATCATGCCCCCCAACAAGTTTGTACAATGTGTTTACTATTTCTCCCTTTTGGAGTATTTCAGGGCTTCTTAGCACATTAAAGGTGCTAAGATTGCAATTAGCAAATAAACAAAAATATGTTCCATCTTATGTTACCGTGCATTTAAAAAAATCATCTGGAAGACAAAAGTGACAACAAAATAATCTTCTCTGACTATGGTTCTTTCCCCCGTTCCAAGTAATTCCTCGTTATTTTTGTGGGAGACCCTTTGGCCAGTACTTTCTTGGGCAATAGATACACGGACTTTATTCCCATCATTTTTGTGCACATTCTTATATGTAAAAAATACCAAAATAACATTTGAAAAGCATAAACAAAGGTCATTTGCAATCGTGTCACCTAGAGATAGCCGCTGTTAATGGGGCAAATTTCCCATCAGCTTTTTTTTTGTACATTTCCATCCAATTTTAACAGGAATGATAAACCTTTGTTAATATGGGTGTTCAGACTCTATTCCCAAGGAAAGTTAACCTTTTATGCACAGGGTTGACTTCATGTAGAGGATACTTAAAATTTATGTCATGCCTCTGAGCATTGCATGCCACGGGTGCTTCTTCAGACATCACCTATGAGCACCTATTTGGGGTATTTTAGTTCTACAAAAAAAATTTGAGCTCCTTCTACAACCTCAGTTTCAGGCACTTTAGAGATTTCAAAAGGAGAATAAGACCTAGTCCTGACATGCTTTCTATTAGTATAAAGGTTCAATTTCCTCAGTGTCTAAAACTCAAATTTGAGAGGCCTAGTCCTTAATCCATATCAATTCTTATCTCATCTATAACATGGAACTAATCATCCTGGGTAACATATGCCAGAATTCCCCCATCTAGAAGGAACCATAGACACCAGTGAGTCTTTATTTTAGTCATTAACTATTTTGGGTACCTGTTGCTTTATAACAAACCACCCCAAAACTTGGGAGATTAAAGCCATAGCTTTCATTTTGTTCATGGATCTTCGGCTAGGGCAGGGCTTGGCAGGGATTACTTGTCTTGTTTCACGTGGTATTAGCTAGAGTGACTCAAAGATGGCCGGTAGAACCATCTGAAGCCATGCTCACTCCCACGTTTAGTGGTTGATGTTGGCTGTCAGCTGGGACCTCCAGTAGGACTGTGGCTTTCTCCATGTAGGCGTGGCTTCCTCACAACATGTGATTGAGTTCAAGGGTGAGTGTCGAGAGAGAGAAGGGAGATGTATGTGCCAGCATGTACATCTCCTCTTAACCAGACTTTGGCTTTGGATATCTTGACTTGGAACAGTCAAGCATTGTCACAGCTACTGCATTCTGTTCACTAGAAGCCAGTTACCAAGTCCAGCCCCATACTCAAGGGCAGGAGAATTAGAATCTATCTTTTGATGGGGAGGTTTTCAGAGAACTTAAAATGTTCTGTGTTAAAATCACCATATCAACGTCCACTTTCTTTTTTTTT